ATAGATTAAAAAAAAAAAAAAAAAAACAACAACATCTTTATTAAAGAATTAAAAATGGTTTGTAGCAAAAATTACTTTGATAAATCAAGAATTGATACTTAGAAATGATTAGCTGTGAACTAAGATTAAAATTAGACCTTAAGACACAAAATTATACACCTATAACAATTTTAAGGTTCTTTGGTTCATTAGAGAGTAGGATTTGAGAGCAAACTAAAGAGAGGTTATTTTGGTATTAGATTTAAGTTTGTAATAATTTTGTAAAAGCTTTGCAAAGTCAAGGATTTTTTAGGGTGACTTCAGATTTTTAAAAAATATAAAGATTTTTTACTTTGGAAAATTTTGTGAAATTGATAGATAATCTTTGAGTGAAATTTTGTAATTTAATGATTATTATTATATTAAATATGTATTATAAGTTTAAGCTTGATCAAATAATTCATTTAAAGGTTATTAAAATATAAATATATTGGCATCTTGGAAATTAGAGCTTATAGAATAAATGAGGGTTTTTTTAGCTTTGTAACAATCTACCAATAAGATTGTAATAAAAAAAAGATTATTCTTATAGTATACTTGATTTCTAATAGTTTTATTAAGTTTGATAGCCATTGAATGGTGACATCAAGAGATATTGGCATTGAAAGATTAGCTTTAAGGTTGGAAAAAGAGGCCAATAAACATCTAAGTACATTATTAAGATTATTTTTTATTTCATAAATTAAATCTTTTTCAAATTCTTTGTACTTATTTTTAACAAAGTAATTTAATGGTATAAAAAATTTGAGCCAAAATATATGATTAAATTATTAGTTATAAAGGTTTCAATCCTTAATAAGATTGATTAAAGATTTTATTAGGATTATAAATTTTATAAGGATTTAATTAGGATTTGATTAAGATTTGATTTAGGATTTAGAGTTTAATTAGGTTTGATTAAGATTTGATTCAAGATTTAGATTTTGAATGGATTTAATTAAGATTTAATTTTGAATTTAGATAATTATTTTAATTTACTTAGGATATACTTAAAATATATTTAGGATTATATTAGGATTTTTTAAAAATGTTTTTAAAGATTTTATTGAGGTTCATTTAGGATTATATTATAATTTTATTAGGATTTATTGAAGATTTTTATTTTTAGTATTTTTGAGGAATATATTTTTAATATTATTTTTTATAAATTTATAGTTTTTAATAAAAAAATATGATTACTTTAGAAATTTTTAAGGATTTCTTTATAAATTTTTCATAAATTTTTAAAGACTTTATTTGGATTTGAATAAGATTTGATTATGATTATTATGATTTAATTGAGATTTATTTAAAATTCTATTGGAATTGTTAGAATCTTATTATTTTAATTTTTGATATACCTTATACAATCAAGTGCCTGATGAATTTTCAAGAAAGATTTTACGTAGGTCAATACTATTTTCTATCCATCTCAAAAAATATTACTATTCTAATAGCTAGTACATCTTGTTCAATGGCCAACTACAGTTATTCTTTTTTATGTATAAATCATATTGCAAAGTTATAGCAAACTCGTATATCTAGTGATTTAGGTTTGGATCATCTCCTTTCATTGATTAAGACCATTTTTGATGTTCTATTACTTTAAATGGTCACTAAATTTTATTCTAATTATGGTTGATTATTCTATCAATTAGATAGGAACAAACTAGTAGCATACTATGTCTTATTCACTTCCTTGTTTTTAATCATGGTTAAAATAATCAAGTAACAAATACCATGTATGTGAATTTTTAAATTCCAAATCACCTCAACCAATTCTACTATGGTTTGATTGTGTATCTTCAATTTGTAAGAAGTAGATTTGTAAATTATTTTATTTTTTCTTTTCTTTATCCAAAATCTTTTCTAGAAATTGTTCATTTATTAGAGGATCTAGCTTGATAGTATAGTCCAAAGCATTGGAGTCCAATAACCCCACTCAATGATTATTCAATAGTTCTCTTTTAATTATATTTTTACTTAAAGAGCTAGTTTAGTTCCAATATTTTTTTTTAGCTTTTTGGTTCTATACTTTCTTTAATTAAAACTTTTTGAAGATATTAATTATCAAAGTCACTCTTCCTCAATTCAATCTCTTTTACTATAATTTTTGTAGGATTTTTGTACTTTGACTTCTTCTGCTAATAAAGGTAATCCATTTTTTTCATGCTTTACATAAGTCATACTAATTACTTCTACCAAATCATTAAGTATGCTCATCCATTCAATTTTAACATTATGAACACAGAGATTTAAATATATATATATATATTTGACATTTGTAAAAACTTTTTGCCATAAGATTTTCTTTGGGTAACTTTAGTTTTTATATGCTAATTCATAATATAAAAATACTCCTTTGATTTTTGGCTAAATCCACTTTGTAAGCTTAGACTTTTTTCTTGTGTGCTAGTCCTTCTTAATCCTTATTCTTGTTGGTATATTTTTTTTTCATTCCAATTTGATCATTTTTGGTTTATCAATAGCTAGAATTTTTACTTAGATTATCTTACTATCATTAGGTTTGAAAAATTCTTATTTATAATCTAGAATTTTTAAAAAATTATGGTACAATATAACTTTATAAGTTTTTTTTTTAAAGGTATTTTTAGTCCTTTTAATTTTAAATTTTTAGTGACTTCACTCTAGTTGTTATCTTTTTTGATTCACTTTTCATTGTTTTATGTGGATCTCAAAATTTACTTATCTAATTTTCTTAAACGAATTTTTATTATTGATTTTCAAGTATTTTTCTACCATTTATTATTATTTTTTTATTTTTTCTTCTATTTTTATTCCTTCTGATTTTATTAACCAATTATTTTTTTAGTCAATAAATCCACAATTTTTATTGCTCCTTCTTATATTTTTTATTGAGCTTTACTTTGCTTACTATTCATTTCTATGTTATATTACCTTAATAATAAAAAATGCTTATCTCATCTATGAATAACTATCTTCTTTTTTCTATTATAACTACCTTCAACTTCATAAGTAGCAATTATATTTTCTACTTACTAGAACACTACTACAACATTGTTATAACAAAATCTATATGATCCAAACTTGTACATGATTTCTAATATAAAAAAGTTTTTTTTTTTTTTTTTCACTTTTTTGAAGAGTGATAATAATTGATTTTCTATGAAAACTTTGAAAAAATTAAACTACTATCCTTGACACAATTGCTAGTCCAAATACCATTCTTGATCTTAAACCTCTTAAATTAAGATCTATAGCTAAATCTAAGTCATATACTTAAATCTAATACATATTTATGCATAAATCTATTTAATCTACTATAAACATCTATTAATTTGATTAAAAAATTATATGTACTAAAATAAATCTAATAAATAAGATATTGATAATATATTATTAAAAAAGACTATATATATTGGCTCTAGATTGATATTTTAAGTCCTCTTCTTCTTAACTCCCTTCTTATTCTACTTCTAACTTCTTACTTCTTATTCTTTTTTTTTATCAAAATAATATACATACTATACACATCCCTCTTATTTCTATAGATAGGATTAAAAATCCTTATCATATTTCAAATCTTAATTGGCCTTCTAATCCTAGTCTCTATTCTAATTTTTTTTTGTCCATCTTGATATTTATCCATCTTGAAAATAAAAGTCTTGATTGTTAACTAATATCAAAGAACACCTCAACTCTTGAAGCATCTACTTATACAAAAAATTACTGGTTATTATCATAGAATTGGTTTTTAAGGCCTAAGCCATTATTAACTTAATTGCATAGTTTTTTACTACCAATATATAATAATTGTTGGTCCTTGAAGCCATTTTAAAAATTAGGCCAATAAAATCTAAGCCCTACCTTATAAATGGTTTAATTGATATACTTCTTACCAATTGAAGAAGGCCAATATTGGCTATCTTTTAATTCTCTAACATCAATTATAAGTTCAATAGTATTTTAAAATATCCATATATAAAATAGGCCATGAATATTTGATATCTAGAATCTTTCTAATAGTGATATATTTTTAAATAATAACCATCAACCACATCTTTATGCATATCCTTCATCACTATATCTACTTGAATCATATCTATTACATGTCTAACTAAGTATCTACTGTCTGACTAATATCCTCTATCTGTAAATTAAGGGATCCAAGATAGTTGAAATTCTAATTACTTTAGATAATTATTAGCTACTGTAGCATTAATACATCATTCATCTTTAGTGTCTTTCTCTTTTTTTTTTGTCTTATAAATTCTTAATTTTTTTAAGATTAAATTAATTTTATTTATCATTATACTTGTGCTCTTATACGTATCATAGTATTTTTTGGATGCCTTTTATATATTAGGCTGTTTATTGATTGTACTTCTAGTTCTATTATTAAATTTACTTTTCTACACCTTTATCTTAGTCAAATTTCTACTAGTGTCAATATAGTTTTTTGCACATTATAGGACAACATCAAGCAAGTCAATTAAATTCTTTACTAATATTATATTGGTTGTGATTTTGAAGTATTAAAGCAAATTGGTCCAAAAATTAGTGCTTTTGAATCTCTCTCTTATATCTAACTAAAAATACTTTATCAACATCATGAATTGGTCATTACAATCTTATATCTTCTTCTTGATTCTTTACTCAAAAGACTTTAGCTCTCAATAGATAGCATCATTAGTGATTTGTTCTATGTATCTTCTTTAAAAAGTAATCTTTACATCCTCTTAAGAATAGTATAAATGATTGTTTATAAAAATCTCATATTAGGCTTCTACCTTATTTAACAATGTTATGCCAAATAAATTGATAGTTATTTGCTTATCAGTCTTTCCATTATGCCACAAATTTTTCTCATAGTAACAAATGTGAACATCGAAATTCATTTTTTCTATGTATTTTATATATAGTAATGATTTTTCCTATATCCAATATATTAATACATCAAATTGTGGTACAAATAATCAAACCATCAATGCAACTAGTGGTAGTATTTCAATAGTGATGGACATACTCACTTAAGAAAAATTGCTTCTAGTTGTGTACGGCAATCTCATATCTACAAATTACATAGATTCTATCTTAGCTCTCTTATTGACTTCTACTGACCCACCTCGCTATTTTCTGCTCAAAATGCTCTCATCACAACTCTAACTCTTCTACATAATCAATATATTAACTTGAGTAAATTTGATTTATACTTATCACTAATTAGGTGTTCCACACAAATCATTCAAATTTTCCTTCCTTAAGAGATAATATCTGACCTTTGGTGACTCTTAACTATCTGCTTCTTTCTTTGAAGCAACAACTAAATATATCAAACTTCCAGTTCTCTAGCACTTATATAGATAGGACATCATTGCTTCAACTTCGTTTTCCCACACTATTCCCACGATCCTCGGCATCAATAAATCAGCATTCCTTTATCTTCATTTCTCCACTCTTCCCGCTATCCTCGGCATAATTGTCAGAAAAATGAAGAGATGTCGCACTCCCACACAGATGAGAACTATTTAAAAAAAGGGGCACTAAGACAAATGCCTTCCTCCTACCTCCGTCTTAAAGCCTCCACTCTCACGGCAGCAACGTCACTCGTGCTCACACTCCCCACTTTACCCTTCCCTGCAACACCACAAGCCCAGATGCCCCAGACAAAAACAATGTAAGGCGCCAATCAATGCAGCAAATGGTACAGCTCCGCCACATTCCTTCACTCCATCCCTCCCCAGCAGCAACACTTCCCAAACCCGCCAGCACATTCACCTCTCCTCTCTGACGTCCGTTCCACATCTTTCTACTCACCATCCCTCACCACCTTCTAATCCCCCCGCCGCTGCGCTCACACCGCTCTCCCTTTCTACGGCCAGACGGTGGAGACCACCCCCTTACTCCCACACGTCTCTGCACACACACATGCCCCTTCATCCACTACGACTTTTGCACGCACAGCATGTTCTAACCATAGCCAATTTCCAATCACGACACCAAGCCCCTCAGTCCCAAATACATATTCGGTTTATTTGTAAAAACATTGTGGACTACTACCCTCTTCGCTACTGATCCACATGTTACATCTTCCTACTCTGGCCCACTAATTGTGTGGGATGAAAAATACTGCGAATGCCTATCGACCGATCCTAACAACCATCTTATCTATCCTGCGTACAAAACCTGCTGACCGTTGCCGCCTGCCCCTAGCACTTGAGCAGCTTCGAGGTTTGACGTTGAATCTCTTTCCACGCCGCGACGATGTGCCGCATCTCCGTCCGGGCTGCGCCAATAGCGAACCGGATTGTGTACACGCCCTCCAACGTCTGCGTCACAGCCCCAACATCTGCGTTAAAGCCCGAAGCATGCCTCCCACCTATCCTAACCACCATGTCACACTCTTCCCTCACAACCACGTCCCACCCCTCCCCGACGCACCACCCTAGCGGTCCCCGCCTTACCGTGTGAGTGAGCATGATGTCTCCACCGGTGTTCAGGGCCTCCACGAGCTTCTTGTTCAGCGTGTAACCGTTGTCCTTGTCCCCCGCCGCCGGCTTCACCCGGAAGCACACCAGCGAGAATATCCTCTGTGACATGAGCTCGAACCTGGAGTCCGCTCGCACCAGGGTCTCGAAATGCTTCGCCTGCTCGCAGTGGCTCCTCAGATACGTCTGCAAGAAATCGGACCCGTGCATGCGCAGCACCATCCACAGCTTCAGAGCCCTGCACATCGCCCACCACACCACCCCGCCGGGGTTACGTCAGTCCTACCCTGCGCCGAGTCCTGCCCGCCTGTCCCCCACGTCCCGCCCCTGGCTCTGCTCGACATCGTACCTGAATCTGCGGCTGAGAGGGATCTGCCAGTCCTTGAAGTCCACCACCGCGTTCGCTTCCGACTGCTTGTTGCGCAGGTACTCTGGGTTGGTCGTGAGCGCTGCCAACAGCGGCGACCTGTCCTTCACCCACAGACAGGAGCAGTCGAAGTTGGTCAGGAACCATTTGTGAAGGTTCATGTCGAACGAGTCTGCCTTCTCCACGCCATTCAACAACGGCCGGTACTCCGGGCAGATGCACACGTTCCCTGCGTACGCTCCGTCTATGTGGTACCACAGGCTGTGCTCCTGAAAAACATACCACCATTCCCCCTCATCAAATCAACCCCCAAACGTTCCCCTCAAACACACCCCCACACCCTCCCTCCCCGACACACACCCACACACTCACGACCCGCCCTTCTATCGGGCTTGCGGATGTCCCACCTGAGCGATGTCCCCCAGATCCGACAGGGGGTCCACGGCTGCCGACGACGTCGTGCCAATCTGCACGAACCGTGCACCAGTATCAGTTCTCCATCCCCAAATGCTCATCCGCGATCGTCACCAGCGACCGCGATCGTTCCCAACCGCAAACACATTCAAACACCACACACGGCTGAGCCTTACCACTCCGACAAGAAAGAACGGAATCAGGCCGGCCGCCTTGTCGGCGGCGACGCACTTCGCCACCTTGTCTGCGCACACAGCGTAGTTCGTGGACGCGTCCGCGTGGATTAGCCGCAGGTTCTTCGTCGCGATCCCCGCCAGCTGCGCGCCACAACACTTTTGTCAGCACTCCCCTCACCCCAATGCCATCGCCGTCCGCACCGGACACTCGCTCGCGTCGTCACCCCTACGCTGCACTCGCCCTGCTCGGCTGCAAACCAGTGTCAGCGTCGTACCTGGCTGGCCTTGTTCACGCAGGCGTGGGCTTGGTCTGACGTGTACACTGTCAGCTTCCCAAGTGCCTCGGCCTCTGAGATGCCCTGTTCCGCGGCCGCCCTCGCAATCGCCCGCTTCCTCGCTGCCAGCATCACTACCAAAATCGCTTCACACGCCGTCCCCTGGATCACCCCTCCGCCGTTGCCTGCGCCACAGCAGGGTACTCTACCACGTTACTCACAGCTCATCGGCACGCGGTTCAGACGTCGACCGCCGCGCGGCCAAGGCCCTCTGCCCCTCGCGACGGCTTCATGGGTCCATGACACTGGACTCAAGCGAACGCTCGCACGGCCAATTTCAGTCGCTACATGCCAACCCAGTCGTGTGCTCACTCTGCAACATCACTTCGCGGGTCCCTGCCTCCGCCTGGTGAGGCGCCGGAACATGCGCCATCCAGAGTACGCACACAAGTTCCTCACCGGCAGATACACCACCTGCGTGAACGAAAACAAACTGCAGCAATGCCTGACCAGCTGGCGCGGCAGCTCAATGATAACACAACATTGTCCACTTTCAGGGTGCGCTAAACGTACCCGTGGACAGGAACTCGCTTGGGAGCTGCAACATCTTCGCCAGCCAGTCCATCACGATGATCTCCAATTCCGTTGCAGCTGGGGACGTGATCCAGCTGAATCCCACCACGCTCAGGCTGGCGCTCAGCATCTCGCCTAGGATGCTGGCTGTGCTGGTTTGCGACGGGTAGTACGCGAAGAAGCTGGGACTCTGCCAGTGCGTGATGCCAGGAAATATCTTGCTGTGCATGTCTGCAGCCACCCAACCACACCACCACTGTCAGAGACCATGGAAAACCCTCCTGCTCCTGCTGAGCTCGGAACCCATTCGCACGCCGACAGCCGCCACTCCCAGGCTCTCACTCGCCCACCCAGCGCATGTGCAATGCGGGACGGCAACACATTCACCAGAGGTCCGGCGATTACCGTAAAATATGTCCTCCAGCGAGTCCTGGTCCTGCGGGGCACTCTCTGGCAGCAACTTCTTCAGGTACCCTGGCTGGACAAACAATGCCACCACAGTCAGACAAGCATTGCCGTCATACATTCCACCCTCCCTCGCTAATCCACTGTGCACCAGTCCCTCTCACGCACCAGGGGCCCACTGCTCCGACACGCAAGCCGCTGTGCCCATCGCGGGCCAGACTCTCTGAGCAGCATTTCATGGATGGTACAAACTCAGCTCGGTACTGCCATGCGGATGCTCTGCGTACCTGAACTTGACTCTGGACAGGATAAGTCTCAAGATCGCGGAAGTAGTCGGCGATGAAGTCCACCATCTGGTGGCCCATCGCCCTGAACTCCTCCCCATCCAGAGGCTTTGTGACGACTGATCGAGCCGGTGCCAATCTCCCCATTCTAAACTCGGCTGCGACACACGCACACTGGCAAGTCTGCGATGTGTGAGTTCAGAGCTGGACGCTGTGTTCGCGGACCGCGGACCTGCTCTCAACTGACCGATGGGAGACTGCAGGAATCCACCCCCCCCATATAGTTGAAGACTCGGGACTTGGAAGAAGGCACCTGGAGCGTTCCGGCACGATTGGTCACCTTGACATGATTTTCTTGCCGCCACATATTTACGAACTCACTCCCGGTGGCGTGGGCCTCGTTTGCAGCGATGGTAACCGAGTTGTCTTAAATAAGAAAAGAAAAGAAACAGAACAGTGCGAAACAATTAAGTGTGCAGACGTCGTCGCTAGTAAAATCTCCGTCGCGCTTTACCTTTTTGCTCACACAGATTCTGTGAAAAGATTCTATATCCTTTTCGGTTCTGCACCGGGGCGACCGTCTCACTGGCACCGCTCTGACCCAATCGACAACACCTCGAGTGGTTGTGGATGGCATCACATCTCAAGAGGGGCATTCGAAGTGCCACCTTGTCTCGGGGCCGCATTCTGCTCCCGCACTTTTAATTCGGCCATGGGAACCTCATGCCACTGCTAGGTCGAATGTGGACCATGAGCTGGGGGAAAGGTTTATTTTGGCACCCAATTTTGGAGACTTCAGCGAAACCTGTGTGCGAGATTAGAGTGGGACTGTGAGTTTATGGTTTTGCCAATGTTGCGCTCCTGCAGGAAACAGTCAACGTCGCAATTCGTATGCACGCTGGGATGGAAATTGTTGTGGGAATATTCCTTTCACGATTCTCTCTGCAAGTGTCCTGAGACTTTGTGGCGAACGAGTGCAATAGCAGCAGTTGATATTGTTCATGGTTGTGTATGCAAGTTCTCTTAGCCTTGTTTCAGTGTAGAATGTTGATGTAGTTGGAACGAATGGCATTGTGTCGTTTTTGTTTCCAAATCTTCCCTTCCAATAATAATGCATGCACTTTTTCAAACCATTTTGGCACTTTCACTAGCAAATTTTGCTTGAAGCCAAATTTGCTTGTTGATGTTTCAGGTTTGCTTCTTTAAATCATTGTAGGCAGTCTTTCAAAACTCTTGTTTGGGTACAGTTGATTGATATGTTGGGGTTGTTATCATTACCACTTGTTTTTTACATTCCAATTCTTGGATTTTTTGTTTGTTTGTTGATTTATTTTGTATTTAATTTAGATTTATTAGAATCTATCACAATGTACTTGCAAATGCAATAAGTTTATAAAATGTAGATAGTTGTTCTACTTGCCTTATACTTGATGCAGTCATATGATTATATTTGAGAGTTGTTAAAGCCACACATTAATGTTGTTAAAGTCATATCCTATATTATTATCTCATAATTGATTGTGTTTATTCCTGATTTTTGTTCCTTATTCTATGTCTTTTGTCTTCCATTATCTAGTCTTGTGCCTTATTCACTATTATTGTTTGTTGTTCTTTGATCTATGTCTTTTGTCCTGGATTTTCTAGTCTTGGGCCTTATTTTCTATGATTGTCTATTATTCCTTGTTCTATATATTTTGTCCTCGATTTTCTAGTCTTGGGTCTTATTCTCTATCATTGTATGTTGTTCCTTGTTCTATGTCTTTCGTCCTCGATTTTCTAGTCTAGGCCCTCATTCTCTATGATTGTCTGTTGTTCCTTGTTCTATGTCTTTTGTCCTCGATTTCCTAGCCTTGGGCCTTATTCTCTATGATTGTGTGTTGTTTCATGTTCCATGTCTTTTGTCCTTGATTTTTTAGTCTTGGGCCTTTTTCTCTATGATTGTCTGATGTTCCTTCTTCTATGTCTTTTGTCCTTGATTTTCTAACTTTGGGCCTTATTCTCTATGATTGTCTATTGTTCCTTGTTCTATATCTTTTGTCCTCAATTTTCTAGTCTTGGGCCTTATTCTCTATGATTTTCTATTGTTTCCTGTTCTATGTCTTTTGTCCTAGATTTTCTAGTCTTGGGTCATATTCTCTATGATTGTCTGTTGTTCCTTGTTCTATGTCTTTTGTCCACGATTTTCTAGTCTTGGGCCTTATTCTCTATGATTGTCTGTTGTTCCATGTTCCATCTCTTCTGTCCTCGATTTTCTAGTCTTGGGCCTTATCCTCTATGATTGTTTGTTGTTCCTTGTTTTATGTCTTTTGTCCTCCATTTTCTAGTCTTGGGCCTTATTCTCTATGATTGTCTATTGTTCCTTGTTCTATGTCTTTTGTCCTCGATTTTCTAGTCTTGGGCCTTATTCTCTATGATAGTTTGTTGTTCCTTGTTCTATGTCTTTTGTCCTCTATTTTCTAGTCTTGGGCCTTATTCTCTATCATTGTGTGTTGTTCCTTGTTCTATGTCTTTTGTCCTTGATTTTCTAGTCTAGGGCCTCATTCTCTATGATTGTCTAATGTTCCTTCTTCTATGTCTTTTGTCCTTGATTTTCTAGCCTTGGGCCTTATTTTCTATGATTGTCTGTTGTTCCTTGTTCTATGTCTTTTGTCCTTGATTTTCTAGTCTTGGGCCTTATTCTCTGTGATTGTCTATTGTTCCTTGTTCTATGACTTTGTCCTCGATTTTCTAGTCTTGGGCCTTATTCTCTATGATTGTTTGTTAATTCTTGTTTTATGTCTTTTGTCCTCGTATTTCTAGTCTTGGGCCTCATTCTCTATGATTGTCTGTTGTTTCTTGTTTTATGTCTTTTATCCTCGATTTTCTAGTCTAGGGCCTCATTCTCTATGTTTGTGTGTTGTTCCTTCTTGTATGTCTTTTGTCTTTTATTTTGTGGCCTTTGGCCTTATTCTCTATGATTTTGTGTTGTTTCGTGTTCTATGTCTTTTATCCTCGATTTTCTAGTCTTGGATCTTATTCTCTATGATTGTCTGTTGTTCCTTGTTCTTTGTCTTTTGTCCTCGATTTTCTAGTCTTGGGCCTTATTCTCTATGATTGTGTATTGTTCCTTGTTCTATGTCTTTTTTCCTCGATTTTCTAGTCTTGGGCCTCATTCTCTATGATTGTCTGTTGTTTCTTGTTCTATGTCTTTTGTCCTCGATTTTCTAGTCTTGGGCCTTATTCTCTAGTATTGTGTGTTGTCCTTGTTCTATGTCTTTTGTCCTCGATTTTCTAGTCTTTGGCCTTATTCTCTATGATTGAATGTTGTTCCTTGTTCTATGTCTTTTATCCTCGATTTTCTAGTCTTGGGCCTTATTCTCTATGATTGTTTGTTGTTCCTTGTCCTATGTCTTTTTTCCTCGATTTTCTAGTCTTGGGCCTTATTCTCTATGATTGTCTATTGTTCCTTGTTCTATGTCTTTTGTCCTCGATGTTCTAGTTCTGGGCCTTATTCTCTATGATTGTTTGTTGTTCCTTGTTTTATGTCTTTTGTCTTTGATTTTTTAGTCATGGGCCTTATTCTCTATGATTGTCTATTGTTCCTTGTTCTATGTCTTTTGTCCTCGATTTTCTAGTCTTGGGCCTTATTCTCTATGATTGTGTGTTGTTCCTTATTCTAATTCTTCTGTCCTCGATTTTCTAGTCTTGGGCTTCATTCTCTTTGATTGTCTGTTGTTTCTTGTTCTATATCTTTTGTCGTCGATTTTCTAGTCTTGGGCCTTATTCTCTATGATTGTGTGTTGTTCCTTGTTCTATGTATTTTGTCCTCGATTTTCTAGTCTTGGGTCTTATTCTCTATGATTGTATGTTGTTCCTTGTTCTATGTCTTTTGTCCTCGATTTTCTAGTCTTGGGCCTTATTCTCTATGATTGTGTGTTGTTTCTTGTTGTATGTCTTTTGTCTCGATTTTTCTAGTCTTGGGCCTTATTCTCTATGATTGTTTGTTGTTTCTTGATCTATGTCTTTTGTCCTTGATTTTCTAGTCTTGTGCCTTATTTTCTATGATTGTTTGTTGTTTCGTCTTTTCCAAAATTAATCAAGCCATGGGTAAAGGGATGGAACTTTAACAACTTTTTGATGATGTTTTCAATAAAATCATAAGTTTTTTGCATCTTGATTTATTTTAGTTATGATTTGTTACCTACTGTTAGCTATTATACAAGTTTTTTATAAAGTTTATATATCTTTTTTAAATAAAGCAATTTTTTATGAAATTTGTTATAGATTAGACGTGATATAAGTATGGTTGAAAGTCATATAAGTTGAAATAAGTCTTTGAAAAAAATGCCAATTCTTATTACTAAGCCAAAAATTACACAATACTTATTAATGGTATTAAAATCCTCACACAAATACTTGATCAATTGCTTCAATAAATAAATGTTCCAAAATGAAACAAGTCATTAGAACTTACATTTTTATTTACATTTTTATACCATATGTAAACATAAGGAAATTTGCAAGTAAAATATAAACAAACAAAAGCTTTTTGGATTTTTGATATGATGAATTTGGCTCACAAAAATGTCATCAATCTCACTACTTAAGTATTGAAAAAATAATTATACTTTTTGATGACCTCAATTTGGACATGCAATACAGCTCTTACATTAAAACTTTACAAAGCTACTAATACACTAAGTGATGGAGAAGAACGTGCTTGCATCACAAAGCTATTTTAATAAAGTACATTTGCAAAATTAGAAAACTTTGGAAAATCCATCTACATTTAAAATACAATTGTGGTTGGATTATCAAAGTGCTCACTACAAATTATAAACGTCCATCCACCTTGATGCATGCGGAGCTCTGCTTGGAGGCATCGTATGTAGTCACTATGCGGAGCTCCGCATGCATTGTGAATGCATCATCTAGATATCATAGGTAGTCTCTCTAAATTTAAATTCTAGTTCAGTTAATTTAGTGGCACATTAAGTCACAAAGCATGAGGTCACAAAGCATAAGGTCACAAAGCTTCAGTACAAATATCACAACATCGACATCAACCCACAACCAGGATCTTGAACTGGAGAAGCATCAACGATCATTCGTTGCAGAGCACACATATCCACCGCACGATCGATACAACTCATCCGTTCCACAAGGTCAACCTATAAATTACCTGACAATGAGTGCGACCCTTCAGTGGAGCTGTGCGAGTTGAGTGCATGGGCGTGTGGTGTGAGGCTTGTAGGTTGTTAGTGTAGGAAGTAAGGAGGAATTTGTAAGCATCCG